TAAAAAAAAAAAAAAAAAATCACCAACTGCCACCATCCTTCCTTGGCTCACAGAGCCAGGGACGCTGCCCTTACATCTGTACTTTTAAGCTGTTGGCACTGTCCCTCACACGTACTAACTGGCATCACCCCAACAATCCCACCATGGTTCTGGGGATGACAAGGTCCAGGGCATGTTCCCAATAAGCAATATGGACGAGGCCACCTTGTTGGGATGGAGTTCACCACCATGGACCTCCTGTCCCCATCAGGCTGTGGCACGTTTCATTTCCTAGTACAGACACAGCCCGACCCACCTGGTTGCCTGGCCGTCAGAGTCAAACCAAACTCAGAAGTCCTCCAAACTGATCATCTCTTCCACCTCTCGCAGACCACAGGGGATATCCGAGTGGAAGCACTTGCTGTGGTGGTCTCAGGCTCCCAGCTCCACGGGTGGGCTTGGGAATTGCCTGTTTTCCCTTCCTGGCTGCCAGGGTCCAGGTCCAGCTGCAACATCACCATTTCTCAGGTCTTGCTGGTGTGGCCGCTCTGGAAGAAGAAGAGGCCACTCCTGGGCCTCTGCTCTTTGCTGGAGGAGCGGGTGCTCCTCTCCTTACCCTGGCCAGGCACAGCCGAGAGAGCTGTCTTTCCCCATCCCGAGTAAATGCCCCATCTGTCAGGCACGGAACCGCCGTCTGACCCCAAACCTGCCTCCCCTCCCTTTGCCCTCCATGAGTTGATGCCCCCATGGAGCCCCAGAGGTTGGAGCAGGCAGCAGCAGCCATCTGCCCGCACTCTGAGCTCATGGTCTGCTCTGCAGCCCATGGCAGGATCACTGGGGAGGAGCAGCAAACAGCAGTGCCGTGTTTGAGAGAGCAGCCACATATAGCCCCACATCCAAGAGGTGTCTGTCAGCAGAAGATCCCATAACCGTCTCCTCTGATCATCCCAGGAGCCAAGCTAACCCTTCTTCCCCACCGCAGGACACATCTCATGGTGTACACCGCTCTCTTGATGCAACCACCGTCCTCCTGATAGCAGGGTAGAGACCTCACTGTTTGTTACCCATTTCCAAAGGTGCAGA